GCCGAACCTACCATACACCTTTCCACAATAGATGGCTTGGTTATCCCGATAGTGTCGTCGGTTCGAATTCTGGGCGTTACCCTACAGGAGAATGGCAAAAACGACTTAACCATCACACATCTCACCAAAAAAGCTGAGGCAGTCATGCACCTCGCCCGACGCGTCGCTAATAGACACGCAGGACTCACAGAAGAAAGCTTACTACGCATCTTTCATGCGTTCGTAATGGGCCACGTTCACTATGTTGCCTGCGCTCACCCGTGGAGCAAAGGCGATGAAACTAAAGTAGACAACCTCATCCGAAAATGCACAAAACGAGTACTTGGTCTACCCACGTCCACAAGCACGCAGCGCCTGCTATCCCTTGGGGTACATAACACGTTCCAAGAAATCATCGAAGCACAAAGAATGTCCCAACTCATGCCCCTGTCTTCGACAGCTGCTGGTCAGGAACTCCTCTCACACATAGGTCTTCCTATCCCAACTCAAGTCAACGAACCAGAACCATTGCCGCAACACCTTCACGCTAAAATCACAGCGCTACCTTTCCCCAGGAACATGCACCCGGTGCACAATCAGGCTCGAAGAAGGGCACGAGCTCAATCCTTACTAAAAGCGGCCAACCTACATGCGACAGACGTGGTTTTCGTAGACGCCGCTAAATACGTGGACAAACCTTACTTTGCAGCTGTGGCCGTCGCCCCAGACGGAAAAGCTCTTAATGCTCTTACCGTAAAAACTCTGAAAGCCTGCGAGGCTGAACAAGTGGCCATTGCCCTTGCTCTAGGACTCCCTCAGCGCGACACAATATTTACCGACTCCAAACCCGCTGCACTGGCATACCGCCGCGGTACACTTTGCCAGGCGGCATTAAGAGTTCTAGCATCTGTTCAGATAACTGTAGACAAGCATATCCACTGGTTCCCTGGTCATGAAGGGATCAACGTTCAACCAGGGGTCCCCAACGGTAATGAGCTGGCCCATAACCTCGCGCGTTATCTTACGTGCCGCGGGGGGTCGCGGTCCGGCTCACTGGCCGGGGACACCAACACGCACCGGGAGCCACTCCTATCATATCATGAAATTTGCTCGCACTATAAGTTATTTAGAAAGGAATTCCCCTCACCTCACTCAGCACTAAATAAAGCACAACAGTTAACGCTTCGACTGCTGCAAACGCACAGTTACCCCAGCCCCTATATCTGCAGCAAATACCTACCAGATATAAGGCCAGAATGCCCCAAATGCCAAAATTCAAGGTGCGATTTAAGTCACATGCTGTGGCAGTGTCCCGTGCTAAACGCTAGCTTCGGGTCCCCTGCCACCGAGGACGACTGGTTCAACCACCTCAGGAGCCCCGACAGGGCCCTTCAACACCAGGCCGTCCAGAAGGCCCAAAAGGTGGCTGGCGAGCTGCGACTCCCAGTCCCCACATGGGCGGAGCCACCGGGCTGGCCCTCGTAAGGGGTGCCCAGTCCCCTTCAGGACCTTTAATAAAGTTAATTCTCTCTCTCTCTCGGATACGCTCGAAGTCAGCGAAGTTCGCTAAGAAATGCTGAGCGTTAAAAAAAAAGGCAGATCTCACGTCATGGGAATCGGCGTTATGTGAAGCATGCGGAGGGAAGGTGACCATGTTTCAATATTTTTTATCTAGCGACACGTCATGAAATGACCCTAAATTTATGTACAAATGTTGCTTCCACAGAAATATGTTGAAGAGTTGCAAATGTTTATATATGCAGTTTTTTGCACTTGCGCCACGATGCCAAGTGGAACATGCGTATGAGCAACACCAGAAGCTGATATGATGCGCTGATGCTCGCGAAGATGCTGGCCGTAGACACTGCTAAATAAATGAACTTAAGCGCATGGCAACTAACCACAATTAACGTTAACCTGACGTGACGCTTGTATCAAAGCAGTACATACGTAATGTTTATAAAATTGGGTAGGCAGCACTGCCACCTCGATTGACGTTTCACCATGATTAGCGTCTATTTAAAGGTTAGTTCCGGGACCTGGCTTAATTCTGTGGTGAAATGCTTCATTGTCACGCACAACGCTTGGGTTCGATTTCAGCTGAGACCCTGAAATTTATTTTTTGAATTCTTTGGATCGACGCTGCCGATGCCAGGTATTTCTTAACGCTTGCGCGTTAAAATTGCCCATACGCGTTCTCGTCGTTACTGAGTAGATACTAATATTTATTCACCTGTGGCATATATACTCGCATACCAGTGGCACATACCCACCCGTAGGTATGTGCCACTGTTCACGGGAAGAGTTTGACAACGTATGCGACGGCACTGTGACATTATTCATTGTCGTGACCAGTGCATCACATTCGTCGGACCATGTACACCCCCTCTCCCCATGCGAATTTCGGTTCACGCCAAAGGGGTGACCACGAGAGCACCCAAACGTAAGCGGCGAGATAGATAGATAGATAGATAGATAGATAGATAGATAGATAGATAGATAGAAGGATAGATAAATAGATAGATTGATAGATAGACAGATAGATATATAGATAGATAGATAGATAGATAGAAAGATAGATAGATAGATAGATAGTCAGGCTCGAATTCACTGAAGTTTACTGAGAAATGCTTCGCATTCAAAAGAACCAAAAAGAGGGACAGTAAGTCCGAAAACAATGGCCCCTTGCGATTTTTTTGTGTGCTTTTGTACACAACATGTCTGTATTGCGGCGGAGGCAACTTGAATTTCTCTCGTATATATCAAAAGTTTAACGCTTGTGTAGCAGTTTACAACGACATGTGCACTTATTCACACTTTTTAAGGCTTGTATATTTTAAGAGCCAACGTAAGCTCTAAACGGCAGGAGTGCAGCTAATTGCACACTGCACGTTTATTTACAACATACTGCGGTCTTGAAAAGACCAAGCAGTAGAGGCCCAAAAATATAAGTGGAAAACACTGTAAGCGTGATAGATGAATGATGTGCACAAAATACAAGAAGATAAGTACATTATACAGAGATATATAGATGAACCTAAACACAGGTTAATACGACCTTCAGAACAACGGGAGATGGGTCTATCTCCCTACTTTACATTCACAATTGCGATAAACAGTAAAGCAAGTCGAGTACAGACTACAGTACAGACAATATGGCAGGCTCAAAATGGCAAATAGACTGAGATGTGAAGACTACTTCAGGCAGCGAATTCCATTTCGATACTGTACGTGGGAAAAACGAATTCTTGAACATGTTTGTGTGGGCTCGATACGCAAGGAAATGGTGCGTGTGCCGATGTCTCGTGGGGCGCGATTGAAATGACTGAATGTATACCGATGCATTTACCTTTGTGGAACCAGCGTAAAGAGAAATAATCAGTTTCAGCCTATCGATTTTTCGTCTATCTTCCAGGGTTGAAGCGCTATTCGCCAGCATTAGAGAAGTTGGTGAGTCGGTGGTCCTATATTTGTTGAAAATGAAGCGTATAGCCCTTCTTTGCACCATTTCAAACCGGTACTTATCTTTTTTTAAGGGGTTCCATATGACCGAAGCGTATTGCAGTTTAGGAAGTATTATCATTTTGAAGGCCAGTAATTTGACATGAGTTGGGGACGCTTTCAGTTTATGCCGTAAAAACCTAACTTGCGTGTGGCAGATGCGCAGATGTTTTCTGTGTGCTTTGACCACAACAGAGTATTGGTGAACGTTATTTCGAGGTATTTGTACTAGCTTTTTTCTACCACTGGTGCACCACTTAATGAATAACAAAACAGAAAGGGTTGTTTTTTTTTTCGTTACACGAAGTAAGACTGTTTTGTCAGCGTTGTGTTATTTAATGCCCTCGCCTCCGTTAGCACTTTCTGTGGGATGCCTCATCACTTCAAGCACCTTCAATATTCCCCGAAACATTCCTGCTTCACAACCTTTGGTATGTAAAATGGTTGCGCAATTATTTTAAAGAGCAGCTAAATGACCCACGCATGCAGAACAGCCCGCGCACTAGGCACTGCACGTGCGCCAGCACCACCTGTTCGTGCGTACACTAAATATCAGCTTTTCTGAGCAATACCAAGACAAATCACTTGCACGACAAGGATAACAAACAATACCTCTGATTTGGTCAACGTGCTGCTTCTAAAAAAGCGTTTTTAAAAGCAACTACCAATTGCCCGATCTGAATATTCTGAAACGACCTGAAGCCTCTCGAACGCGAGAAGAGGGCTAATCTTAGAAACAAAGCCGGAAAACAACAAACTGCATTTTTCAAAGACAAACTGATGAATAAAGAAACATCGAAAACATTTAATGACGCTGCTAAGCCAATCTATGGTAAAATAATGGCGTCATTTATTTTGCCTCTCCATGTTTTTTTTTCGCATCCGCGGAGCAAAACATCCGTTAGCTATGATTTAACAAGCCAGAAAGAAATTATGTACCCATTTCCGCTCTGTCAATGATTGACGCTTGTATTCTAGTGATTAACTTTACAGATTAGAAGAACTGCTATGCGATGGAGCATTAAAGTAGAGTCAATGTTCACAGATGAAGTAGTGAGCAAAAATATCTGCAATATTTTATGTTCCAAAATTGTTAACTGCCGGGTGCAGTACATACGGCTTCGGTGAGGCGTTCAGTCATCCAAACTACACCTAAGTACATTTTACCATGAGGTACAAAACAGGGTCAAGAAAGATGAACATAGAAAATTAGCCTCAGCTTACAATTTTATTGCAATACGCGATGTAAAAAGGGATTACAACTAAAAAAAAAACGCTCAATTTGATTGCAGCGTGTGTATTATACCGAAACCTACACGCGCCAAGCAGTGTATTGAGCGCGCAAGAAGCTAGTTTCTCGTTTATGAGGGCGATACGCACTTACGTATCTGTCTGCCTCCTTGGGAAGTTTATGTGCATAAATTTGCACATCTAAAGCTTCCTATTTATTCTTCCAACAATAAAGAGTTCGCATATGTGAGTTATATCCCTTTGCAACGTGCGTTCAAAGTGGTACTTACATGAAGAACCATGTTGTGAACCCGACGATCAAGCTCAAGAGAAACACTTCGAGCATGATTCGCGCGAGTGCGGCGCCCTTGTGAAGCCGAGTGTAACAACAAGAGTTGTGCCCTAAGGACACCCTCTGTAGACCTTTTGTAGCCTCTCGCACACACCTGTGATAACTACGCAGGAAGGGTTGTTCGCTTCTCTGTGGAGCCGGAAATCGTACGAGTACGCATTTCATGATGTCGCTGTTATTCATGATGTGGGATAGGTACTTGTTTAGACATACAGATGCGCGTCCGCTACGTGGTATAATGTAAAATTGCGGGGCGAATCAACCTACTTTAATGTATATCAGCGCCAAAGTACAGCGCACGAATGAAGGAATTCAGTCAAGGACCGCATCCATTGCTCGCGGATTGAGGCAGTACTGGAGATGCGATGCATGAAAAAAAAGGAAACAAATACGCAAAAGAACAGTTTCTGTTTCACTTTTTGTCCCGGCGCAGTTGGGAATATTGGTCAGAAATTCTATGGGATGAAACATACAGAAATAAAGCTTAGGCACCACCTAGCGTTGAACTTAAAGTCAAAACATCCCGCATGATACGAAACCACCAAACGACGGCTGACCAATCGCCATCGACATCACATGAAGTCAGCTTCTCCAGCGTCAACGTAGCTTGAGTCTATAGCTTAGCTTCGGGTTTGCTCTGGTGTGGTGATGGTCTGGTGTGGTTTCTGATATTTGGTAACCATTATTGTTCATTTTTAACTTTTCCTCGTAAACTTCTGTGACCTGCGGCTGATGTCCGCCTAAAAAGCCGTGCGCAAGTATATTCTGCCATGGTTGGGCTAATTCATAATATGTGGATGCACTTCACGGTCGAGAAGACTGGAGGTGGGAAACTGGGAGTCGCTGCCTGTAAGCACTTCAACAGCAGCTACTCTTTTCTCAATGCGATATCTTAACATGATGAAGACAGCAGTAGTTGTCAGTGATATTAATTCTGAGGATGAGTTTGAACTCCATCTTGTTATTCTCTTGTTCAATGTTTCCGTAGTGAAAGGCACGACAAAATAGACCTTTCTTTGTTCTAAAAGCCGTAAACTTTTAGAAAGCCACACCCCTTGAATGAGAGCCTAATGAGTTCACCGTGATGCTTCTGACTGCCTTCGATCTGTTAGATGCCGCGTTCATTTGTGAAAACAGGGAAATCATTTCATTTCTTCCATTTATATAACAAAAGTTATTGCTTTTTGACCATTGGCAGTAAAATGTTACACATGGCAATAAGCTAATGTCATATGCTAAAGAAAAGTTGTTCTTGTTTGATTTTTTTTGAAATTTTGAAAAAAGTGACAAAATAGGTGTTTTTTAACTACCCCAAATTTTCGAAAAATTTGCATCTCTAGGCACGACTGCATTTTAGAGAATTTGTTTCCCAGAATCACTGGGGAAGCGAAGAAATTCCTTCGCGACAAGGATGCGACAGCTCAAGAACGACCTCCATCAACTGAACAGCCAACGAAGCGCATTAGCACAACAGTGCCAATGGTTTGACTACAGCATCCATCTGGACCTGACGCAGTGATTCTAACAACAAATACAACAAAAACAATACACGCCGAATCCTCGAATCCTGGCACATTCAGCAGATAGCGGGGAACAATAACGGCTCCACCGAGACATTGCCCTCCCTCTATTGCCCGGTGTAGTGGTTAAGGGACGTTCGCCACTATGTTTGTTGATAGCGGATGAGAAAGGATTAACATGAACTTTTTATTTCATGGCATGAGTGGAACGGCTGACGACGCACGGGTACGCTACCGTGTGCAGCGCCATTGAGTCGGACGTCGCGGCCAACCCAGCAGTCAGGGTCGCAACTCCGGAGGTCCAGGATCAGGCCACGGCTCACGAGGACCACACCCGGTAGGACTCGCCCACGAACCTGCTCCCGGCCACTGCACCCAGGCAGGAGCCGTTCGGCAGGTCTCGGCCTTGGACCTTGAACACACACACCGGAGCTCGACCTGGCCGACACGTACGGGTCTCACGTCCGGCTCAGGAACGCTGCCAGGAACTCGTCCTCTCGAGCGGCGCACCGCTTCCTCTGCCTTCGTGGCCTCAACCCTCGAGCTCTCTTTTCCGCACGTTTCTCGGTATGGCTCGGCACCACTGGCGATCCTTGATTCAGCCAGCATCCCCTGGCACCTGGATTCTCGGCCACCCTGGACCTCGCCCGGCTCCGTGGTCCTCCGTGCACACGCCCGCGTCTCGCCCGGCAGAACGTCTCGCTCGTCCCTTGCCGAAGTGCGACGCTCTGGTGACACCGGCGCTTGATGACATTGGTGCGGCCACGGAGCAGTCAACCCGCATCGGAGACGCCATGCTCCATGCGGGGCATGGCCAGCCCGTCCAGCGAAGAGCGTGCGCCGAGACGCGATGCTCGACGCAACCGTGACCATTAGCCAGGCCACGTTCATCGCTGTGTCGAACGGCTGACCGTGGAGACGCCTCGCCGAGATCCGCGATGCCCTCGGCAAGGAAGAGAACAGCAGGCCAGGCCGCGCCCCGAGATGCAGTACTCGTGCCGGCAATGCCGCCCAAGCTGGTGGTTGGACGGCAGCAGCGTGGACGGCCGCGTTCCCTGGCCGGAACCTGGCTCGCCTGCGTCCGACGCTTCCGCCCGCTGTCTCCCGTCTGCCGCTGCTCCGGCTCGTCCCCAGCCACACAGCCTACTGCCACGTAATGGTCGCACGTGGCCCAATCGTGGCACGCCACCTCTATGGGCCATCAGAAGTCATCAGCTGATTCGCTGCCACTCACGCGCACATTACACGCGCCTTGCCCCGCACTTCCGTCGTTGTCGTTTTCTTCACTCATCACACCCGGGTTTACGACGAGTCGCGGCGAACATCTCACTCAAGGCGAGCAAGCGTACTAAGCAGTGCACATCTCTGGCTTTCTCACCCCTGCGGAAGAAGCCGGTCTGGCTTCGAAATGTAAAGTTTTGCGATTACAGTTTTGCTTGGAGTTTTCTAATTGTCTTATGCTTGCAGTCTGTCTCTGAGACTGCTTTCCCGCAAGAATGGCCTCACAGCTGCCTACATCAGTGAACATTATATTTAGAGACCTGATTCGTCGTGACGTGATGCATCTATCTCGATAAAAACTGGCGTACCAATCGGTTTACTTAAAAAAAAGGTGTTGCGTTTAAATCCGTGAGTCGTGGACATGGGTGAAGAAACGAAAGGGACACTGAAGCGAAAGTAATTTTTTTTTCACGTATTAGTAAAGAAACCTTCATAATAATGAAAACACCACTATAGAACACGCTTTAAAATCGAAAGCACATGTGAAAAGGACCTGGCGACGCCATTACAAAATTGTTCGCACCGAACGTTGTTACGTCAGATATGTCGATGGCGTCTACTTGCTCATGTGTAGTTCGTAATCGCGAAAAAGCAAGTACGAGGTCCTCTCACCGGTCCATAAACTTGCCATGCCAAGTTTCAAAAAATTTCAAAGAGCCGATATCGCAAAAATACGGGAAAACTTTACTCGTGGTGATTTTGGCACAAACTTCAAATCTGAAACTGGCATGGCAATTTTTTTTCTTGGATAAAACATATGATGGTGAAATATAGGAAATTAATGTTATTAGAGTACCATTTAGGAGTATAAAATGAATAATCAGACCAGTTTAGCATACTTTTAAAAACTTCTCAACGACAAAAAGAATCGAGTGCACAGGATATGACAAAGAGGAGATCACTTCGGTTGGTCGTCGTCCAGCAGTGGAATGAGGCAGGCCGAGAATAATAATGATGGTGGTGATGCCATTCGGGACTCCGTCCAGGCACTGAGGTAATTTACCGCAGACGCGCATGTTGGACCAACGCAGCAATTGCTGGCGCTAAGATCAACCTCCAATGAATTGCGTGCATCACAATAATCGCCCCCAATTTGAGTCTCAATCATGATGTATTCTTTATTTATTTACGCTAGAGCCACAGCATCTATTGGCGGTAAAGGGGAGGAAAGGTGAGTAAAAAAATTGAAGAATTAAGTGTGGTAGCAAGCTATACAGCACCACAGACGACTATATGTTGCAGCAATGTCCACCATTGTGGTATATTAACGCATACGTCTGGAAACACTTATAAACAATACAAAATAAAACTCCGCAAGCTCACATATATATATAACTTACCAAGGATGTGTATTATAGTAATCAAAACAAAATCATATCAGCAATAACGAACAATAATATGAGAATATGAGCAATAATGAACAAAAAATCACTGCCCAAGCACTCCGTACAAGCGGTTAACCAGCAAAAGCTGAAACGTGTGGCCAGTTGTTAAGCAGTATGTTCCACGCGGCGATGCAATGAAGCCTTTTACTATTTCTGGTTAGATGTTCGTGCTTCTTAACGAGGTTAGGCATAAGTTTGACTTGGGTTAACCAGAGTGCTTAGGTGTTTCACTTGCTGCACATTGTGTCTCGTACAATTACGGTCAGAGAGGACTGTAATGAGTGGTTAAATGCGTTTCAGAATACGTTTTACGCAGTGGTTGTTTCCGAACAACAGGCGGTGACAGACGCCACAACCCAAGCCAATGTGCTGCTGCAGAAACTCCCACCGAAAGAAGCGTTCGCCCCGGCGAAGGCGCTCCTGCAATCACCACATTGACGCCGCAACGCCACGTTGTTGCAAGCGTATGATGTCGCAAGCCAACTCAGCCGGGAGGCTTCAGTAGAAACTGTTGCGCTTGGGCTCGCGCCACAGCTGCGACGATGCCACTTACGATGCATTCGATGGCGAGCTTGCTTGGGGACGACGTAACTGACAACAGAGCCAATCGAGAGCGCTTATGTCTGTTTTTCGTTCCTGATGGCCATATACAGCTTTCCCTGAAAAAAAAAAAACGAGTACACAAGCATACAGCAGGGATCTCTAGGAGTAACATGAGGGAACAGCAACTATGATACATGAGAAATTATTTTTTCAGTATAAAAAATATGTCATTAGATAATATAATTATGAGAGACTGGTCCAATTTATTCAAGTCACGTATTGTTTCAGGAAAAAGAAAGACATGCT